GAGCAAGGCCGTATATTCTACCAAAAACTGAGCATATATGTTAATATGGGCATTGGGGTTGAAGTCTTTAGATCAGGAAAATAACTTTAGGTGATCAGGATTTAAGTTTCATACGCCAACAAACCTAACTTTTTGGGAATCCACCCCATTTTTGTAAGGAATGCCAAAGCCTGACAATCAAGGAACTTACAAATAAAAGGGAAGTACTTTTGGGCTAAAAAAGCGTCCATGGAGGTTCAACTTGCATGACTCAATTCCGGCTTGATGTTCATCTTTCAATATCGTTATTGTAACTCGGTCCCCCTTGATTACTCATTCTGGGAGCTGTGAGATGGAGATGTTGGAGACATTTATGTCATTGTTTTTGTGTGGACATCTACGCAAGATTTATTTGGGTTGTTTTTTAGTTGGCTGGGAGCCCAGGCACACCTAGGGGATAACCACTTCAAGTTTGTCAGAGTTTTTTGTATGTTTATATGTCATTATCATCGAAGTTGAGAGTTGGAATCAAGGCTTTCTACCAGTGCAATTATAATGACTTCCCTCCCAAAGAATTTTTTTTCTCCCTAAATTTGCGGTGTCAAGCGCTAACATATTTAAATAAAAGAATACACTACTACTAGAAAATTTGCTTTTAGTGACTAAGAATTTTCGTTCCATCCAACCACCGAATTATACATCATGTTAGTAAAAAAATTTAAAATCACTAAATCGGTCACTAAATAAAATTAACCACCAAATTAACAATTAAAATGTTGTGACCATATATTTAGTCTCAAAAAAGCATTTATAATTTTTTTTTTTAATTTAGCGACCGAAATTATCATCACTTATAATTTTTTTTCTTTATTAAGTAACTCCCTTTCAATTTTCTACTTTCATTTTTGAATATTTTTTCTTTCTAATTTCACATTTTATTATTTTAAAATATTAAACATATATTTATATAAAAAATCAATAGCATAAATCTTTAAATTTTATTAAATTTTTTTATTTAAATGACAATAAATTTTAAATAATATTTAACATATCAGTTTTATTAATAATATATACAGGCGTCCATACATATTTAATAAATTTGTTTATGTGTCCCAGTGGTAATTTGTGTGTTAGAGAAACAAAATACCTAAGTTTGATCCTCTTTGGGTGCATATTTTGTTTTATTTTATATTTTTTAACATGATAAAATGGTCACAAATCCAGACTATATTTGCATCACAAATTTGGTCGCTAAAGCTTGGTCAGTAAAGGTTAACGACTAGCATTTTTTCAACTGAAAAATGAAAGTCATTATGTTGGTTACTAAACGTTATTGTGACCGATTTTTAATTTATTCGGTCACTAAATACAAATTTTTTAATAGTGATATATTTATATAATGATATTAAAATATAATAAATAAATAATAATTAAATATTGTTACAGTATAATAAAACTAAACAAATACCATTATAAATCACACGAGATCACACAAGTTAGTTGTAATTATTGTTATTGCATGTATGTTAAGTTGTTTGGCTAATAAATTTTATTGCATGATCTGAAGATCAAGGTGAGCAAGCTTGTGAAGCTGATGATAAACAATAAATATGTCATATGCCTTGCCAGTGTTGCATGGGAGAAACATACACATTTACACAAAGTTCTATTTTCTAAAAAATCAAGTTCATAATAGAGTGTTATAAGTTGTTCATTGTAGCACCTCCATAAGCAATTTGTAGATGTTCTGACGAAAGCTATCAAGACTGAATATTTTGTCCATTTGAGGGATGATGTGTAGTAGATTTTGGTTAGCTGAATATTTTTTTATAATCTTTTTAACATATTACAGTGATATACAAGTATAATATTTAGAAAAAAAAACTAGTAAAAGTAAATTATAACATAAAAACAATAAACAAACAAGATAAAATTATTCTTATTGATATTGTTCGGTGACCTTAATAATATTTTATATGAATCATCTGTATCCTGCACATGATATTCCAGTATAACTATAAGTTGAATTGGCTTAACAAATCTTGTATGGATCAATTATAAATGTGTTAAAATTTACAAAAGCAGAAATAAGTCTCATATTAATATATGAAATAAAAATTAGGATCAAGATAAAATTTTAAAAACTACTTAATTCTATTTCAAGGTTGAATTGAGACAATTGCTTCTCAAGTGTCATTTCGATCATTATTATAATCAAAAAATTAATCTTAAATTTTATTTATTACTAGTAAGAAATTCGTGCGTATGAATCAATTATAAATGTCTTAAAATTTACAAAAACAGAAATAAGTCTCATATTAATATATGAAATAAAAATTAGGATCAAGATAAAATTTTAAAAAATACTTAATTCTATTTCAAGGTTGAACTGAGACAATTGCTTCCTTAGAGTGGACCACCTGCAATCTTGAACATACTCATTTCGATAGTTATTATAATCAAAATAATAATTTTAGATTTTATTCACCACTACTTATTTCGATCATTATTATAATCAAAAAATTAATCTTAAATTTTATTTACTACTAGTAAGAAATTCGTGCTAACGCACAGGTACCGCCTGAATTCATATTACCTGTCTTTCATTCTCATTTGTCAAGATTGAATTCATTCAATCAGTAGGTTAACATTCACATAGTTTCAAATATAGAATAATAATATGCATCAACTATTAAACATTGATTCATACTTATAATAAATCGTATAATTGATTCTCTAACTTAAATTATATAAAACAACATTATTTTGAGAGTAATTTTGTAGCGGCTGAAACCTGCATCATATATGAGTTTCTTCCATTCTTTCTTTCTTCTTTCTTTATCAAGAAACATTTTAAGCATCATTAAATCATACTCAAATTGCAACTCAGTTAATTCATGATCATCACTATTTTCATCAATTGATATGTCAATGACAATCATTTTTCCATCTCTCCCTTGGTGTGAAATTGCTTCTTTACTGTTCTAAAGACGGTTGGTCATTCCAATCATGTAAGTTGATATAAAATATGCAATATAACATTAACATGAAATGTAGACACAAACAAACATAACAGAATATTCATATAGTTAAGTTGATATAAAATATGCAATATAACATTGACATGAAATGTAGACACAAACAAACATAACAGAATATTCATATAGTGATATAACGATTGAATATATGTTTGATATATTTACTTTTCTATTAAAAATAAAATAAAGGAAAGATATCAGACACTACATATAACAATTCACAATTTCCTAAAACTAGAAATAAGACTAAACCTATAATCATTCATATTCAGGACTTCGATGACAATAATCGTGTCAAGAGAACATATTTCAAAATTTAGACTGTATTTAACTTGTTGACTTAATACTAAATATCGTAATAGCGAGTTTAAATCCTACTGAATTAATTTTTGTGTTGCCTAACATTTTAGACCGCAATAGCTCATATTATCCCTACAGTCATCAATTGGTTGGACTTGTTGTCATGCTTATATTCATGGCCATCAATATCTACACTTCTAGTTCACTAACACAATTTTACATAACTATATGATAGAATCATTAGCAAGAGTGCATATTAACATATTTTTATATAGATACAAAACAGAAAACCGTGCATATTTCAATTTATTTCAATAAGCATTCCATTTATGTTATCATATTTCTATTTAGACTACATCAAGATTAGTTATAGATATAAAACACAAAGATAGAATTAGCATATTAGAATTTTTGTCAAGAAATGAAATTAATATATAGCTCATTACATAACTGTAACGTGCATGAGAAATAAAAAAGCGTATGTCTTCTAATTTTATAATATATTTGTGACAATAATTGTGACAGCGTCAATAGCATTTTACCTGATAGGTGAAAGATTGTAAATTTGATAAGGGATAACTTGGAAGTCAGTTTAAAATTTTTTGCAACACATAATCATAAAATTTCGTCAGTAATGAATAAGATAATATAAATCATAAAAAACCATAACCTTTTGTCCTACCATTGAGCCTATTAATGACGACTTTGACCCCCTTAACTGGAGTTGTACAAGGTTCAAAATAAAAACTATCTACTACCTAAATGTCACATCATGCACAAACTCAATTCAATTGCTAAACATTTTAAAATCAGCAAAAAAAGAGAAGGATGAATATTAGTTCAAGGGATTCAATAAATAAATAGAAAATCAATTCATCCAATAATAAAATCCATGTTTTGAAACTATAAGTGATCCGACTTGGATACATGAGATCTAACATCAAATGCAGAAGAAAATATAAACATAAAAAAAAAAATAGTAACAAACTTATAACAAAACGTAAAGCCACAAAAAATAATAACTTATATGCTCACCACCAAAAACTCATCCATCATCCCTTACAAGAGAAACGTATAAACAACTTGGTATGTTATGCTCACCATTGTTTTCAGATGGGTGCATATCACCTAATAATGATAGGATCTTTAAGTATACTTAATGAAATACTAAAACACATGGGGGATTCAGGGTGTATATCTGGAAAATAACATCCCGTATGGTGAGTTCAAAAGTCATTCACCTTACTTAAATTTGCTCAATCCATTTCAGTTGAATACAATCTTTAAAAGATTAATACCTATAGATAGCAGATATAAGAAATGATGCTGCAAACTACAGTAGAAACTAATTTTATTTAAGAGATTATGGTTAAGTCAAACATTTAATATAGTCATAATGAGTACTTAACATGTACTTAATATAGTCACCTTACTTAAATTTTGTTTTATTTTATATTTTTTAACATGATAAAATGGTCAAAAATCCGATCTTTACAGTATAATAAAACTAAACAAATGTACATAAAATAAAATTAAATTAATTACATTTAATTAATTTTTTTAATAATAAATATGAAAGAGATTATTTTGGTTTATAATTATGACCAAAATGGAGATGGAGTACCTTTATAATATATATTCATAAACCTTTGCAACTTGTTACACATTAAGAATCCAAACAAAATGGTAAGCATTACAGCTTCTTATACTATGATTCCACGAGAATCAACTCCACAAGGTTTTTTATGGCTTTCTGATTTAGATCAAGTCGCACGTTTCCGCCACACACCAACTATATACATTTACAAACCAAAACAGCACCCAGAAAATGCCATTGAAACCTTGAAAAACTCTGTCTCCAAAATTCTAGTTTACTACTATCCTATGGCTGGTAGATTGTTTTACACGTAAGGTGCTAGATTAGAATTGAATCTGAATGCAAAAGGTGCTATTTTGCTTGAAGCTGAAAGCAATAAAAGCATTCATGATTATGGTGACTTTTCACCTTCTGACTCAACCAGAGAGCTTGCTCCATTATTCGATTATAATGGAGTGATTGAAGAAATTCCATTATTTGCTGTGCAGCTGACAAGGTTCAAAAACAATGAAGGCTTTGCAATTGGAGTTTCTTTTTCGCATATCTTATCAGATGGACTTGGAGCCATTAGAATGATGAACTCATGGGCCAAAATAGCTAACACTTGAAGATAATGAGTTACCCTTTTTTGATAGAACATTACTCAAGTTCTCACACACCCCATTGGCACCGCGTTTTGAACACATGGAGTTAAAGCCTCTTCCACTCATTCTAGGAAGACAAGACGCAAATGAAGAAAGAGAGAAAAAAACTTCGGCAACATTGTTGAGACTGTCACCAGAACAAGTTGATAAGCTGAAGAAAAAAGCTAATGGAAATGAAAATGAAAATGAAAATGATATTCTGGCAATGAAGAATAAAGGGTCAAGAGGTTTTAGTAGATATGAAGTAATTAGTGCACATATATGGAAAAGTGCATCTAGGGCACGTGAGCTTGAAGAGAATCAAGAGAGTGTTGTTAGATTCATAGTCGAAATCAGAAATAGAATAATTCCAAATCTTCCTGAGAATTATTTTGGGAATGCTTTGATTCAAACAGCTACAAAAGGATTGATTGGAGAAATCAGATCAAAGCCTTTGGGTTATGTAGCACAGAAGATAAGGGAAGCAGCTGAGATTGTAACAGATGAATTAATAAGGTCACAGATTGATGTTATTAGGGGATTTCAACATTTGGATGATGCAAGGGCTTTGTATTTAGGTGATGAAGGTAAGAATATTCCATTTTTGGGGAACCCTAATTTTCGTATAAATAGTTGGATGAGTATGCCTCTTTATGAAGCTGATTTTGGATGGGGAAAGCCTGCTTACTTTGGAATAGCTCGTTTGTATCCACATGATAGGGCATTCATTCTTCTCACTCCTGATGGAGATGGATCTATTCTTGTGTGTTTGCATTTTCAGATTGCACATTTGGAGCTTTTCAAAAAGTTCTTTTATGAGGACATTTGAAATTTTTTATCATGTCATTTACTTATGTCTTGTTTGCATTTTAATGTTGATTTATTTTTATTTTAATGTTTCACTATCTATTTTGCTTGTGAGTTGCATGAATTTTCCTACTCATTATTTTGTACTGCTTGATTTGATTTGCTTGTGATTTGCATGAATTTTTCTATTCATAATTTACCTTGGTATTGTTATATTCGTTTTCTATTTTGTTCATCTCCCAATTTAATACATATTCTCTCATCATATGTAAAGTAAAAATAACAATAAGAAAAATATTTAGGTTCTTTTGGTAATTTTATAAACAAATTGAGTGATGTTTGCCTCAATTGGTAGTCTAATGGAGGCAATAGATGAATTAATATTTAAATATAAAATAAAATAAAAAGAATGATGCTGTTATAAAATAAATAAAAACATAAACGGTAGTTCTTAGAATTTAAAGTGTGTTCTTTAGTTAGTTTTCTCTTGGTTAACTAGATGACACAATTGTTTGAAAGAAAAAAATTGAGATTGGTATATGATATATTTGTTAAATTGTAATTCATATGTGTCAAAATTAGATTTGATTTTGTTTTAGATTTAAATAGATTTGAATTTAAGTCTAGAATAGATTTGATTAGATTTGATTTAGTAAAAAGATATTTTGGGCTTGGGTTTTAGCTTAGGGAGCAAGCTAACCTAATTCTATAAATAGAGGGAGTAACCCATATTTTGTAATCAAGTAATTCACAGTATTTTGCAGTTGCAAAGTGAATAATAAAGTTTCCACAGTTTGTGGGCAGAGAGAAACTCTGCAGAAATATCTCTATTGTCTTTTCTTTGTTTGTCTCATAACTAATCATCAAGTGGTGGTCGAAATTCATCATTGAGTATTGGTGAATTTCCAACATCTGGTATCAAGAGCTTGTGTTTCGATTCAAGGGAAGTGTCAATCAAGAACGATTGAAGAATTCACGATGACAAGTTATGGGAATGCAAACTATCCAGCAACGCTGCCAATTCTGAAAGTTGACAACTATGAGAATTGGTGCAAACAGATGAAAGTCTTATTAAGGTGTCAAGGCCTTTGGGACCTTGTAAAAGATGGAGTCGAAGCGCTTGGCGAAAACGCTTCAGAAGAAGAAAAGAAGAAATATACAGAATCTAAGAAGCAGAGTTATAAAACATTATTTATAATTCATCAATGTGTCAGCCCAGACAATTTCGAAAAGATTAGTGATTCAGAATCTGCAAAAGAAGCTTGGGAGATCCTTGAGAAGTCTTTTGGAGGCGCTGAGAAGGTGAAAGAAGTGAGGTTACAAACTCACAAAAGGACCTATGAACTGCTTCAGATGGAAGACAGTGAAAACATATCTGATTTCTTCACTAGAGTTACAAAACTAGTGAATCAAATCAAGGCATGTGGAGAAACATTAACAACAAGAGCTGTTGTTTCGAAGATCTTGAGATCTTTAGCTCCTAAGTTCGACCACATAGTGGTGGCGATCGAAGAGGGGAAAGACTTGTCGAAATTGACAAAGGAAGAGCTTCAAGGGACGCTCGAATCTCATGAACAAAGAATGAACGAAAGAGCTGCAGGAAAATCGAAGAGTGATGTGGCCTTGCAGGCACATTCAGCAAAAGAGACCAAAGGCAAAGGAAAGTATTTCGACAGAAGTAGAGGTGGCTACAACAAATCGAATGGTAGAGGAAACCAAATCGAAGGAGACGTGTCGAATCAAAGAAGACCACACCAAGGCAATCAAAGAGGTGGTGCTGCAAATAGAGGAAGAGGTGGTGGTCGAAAACCTGATAAAAGTCACATTCAATGTTACAATTGTCAAAAATATGGACACTATTCGAGTGATTGTCCAGAAAAACGAAAGAATCAAGAAAGTGATGCAAAGCTTGCAAAACATGAAGAAGAAGAAGAAGAAGAGATGATGATGATGGTCACAACAAGAGATGAAGATAGATTCAAGGACCAATGGTACTTGGATTCAGGATGTTCATCACATATGTCTGGAAGGAAAGACTGGTTCGTCAATATAAAACCCTCAACGAAAAATATGGTAAAATTTGCAAATGACAACACCCTAGCAACTGAAGGTATTGGTGATGTTATGATCATGAGGAAAGATGGCAAGAAGTCAGTAATTTCAAATGTATTGTACATACCAGGCATGAAGAGTAATTTGCTCAGTATAGGGCAGTTGGTCGAAAAGAATTATAAAGTGTCAATCAAAGATAAGTTGATGAGAGTCGTTGATGCAAATGGGAGATTAATCTTGAAGGCTCCTATGTCTCATAATCGAACCTTCAAGATTGAACTAAATGTGATGGAGCACAAGTGCCTTTCGACTGCAGCTAGCAGAGATGAATGGATATGGCATTATAGACTAGGTCATCTCAACTTCAGAGACATCAGAGATTTGAAGAGAAGAAATATGGTTTCAGGATTGCCTGAAATTTACATTCCAAACGAAGTATGTGAAGAATGTGTGCAGGCGAAGCAACACAAGAATAGCTTCAGCAAGGATGCAGGAAGCAGATCGAAGGCTAGTCTTGAAGTCATATACTCTGATATATGTGGACCAATCCAGGTGGATTCGATGGGAGGTAATAAATACTTTGTTACATTCATAGATGATTTCAGTCGAAAGCTATGGACTTACCTGATCAACAAGAAAAGTGAAGTGATCGAAGTATTTACCAAGTTTAAGTCCATGGTCGAAAGACAAAGTGGTCGAAAGCTCAAAGTTTTGAGAACTGATGGTGGTGGAGAATATGTGTCGAAAGACTTCGACAGATTATGTGAAAAGGAAGGGATTGTGCATGAGGTGGTGCCACCCTATACTCCACAGCAAAATGGAATTGTAGAAAGGAAAAATCGAACCATCATGAATATGGTGAAAAGTATGTTGAAAGGCAAGAATTTACCTAGAGTTCTGGGGTGAAGCTGTTTCGACTGCAACCTATATTTTGAACAGATGTCCTACAAAGAAGCTAGAAGGAATTACTCCAGAAGAATGTTGGTCTGGTGTGAAGCCTAACTTAAGTCATCTGAAAGTATTTGGATCTATTGCACATAGACATGTGCCAGATCAGTTGAGAAGAAAACTTGATGACAAGTCAAGTCAAATGATCCTAGTTGGATATCATTCGACAGGAGGCTACAAGTTGTTCGATCCAGAGAACAAGAAGATTGTGATTAGCAGGGACGTGATCATAGATGAGTTTAAAGAATGGGATTGGACTGCAAATGTCAAGAAAGATTCAGTGGGAATCTTATTCGAAGAGCCAGAAACTCAAGTTGAAAGAGAAGTTCGACAAGAGGAACCAGTAGATATACCAAGTACAAGCAGGCCTCAAAGAACAAGACGCATGCCTGCAAGATTGCAAGATTGTGTGATTACATCAGATGATGTAATAAATGATGAAGGTGAGTTGGTACATTATGCTTTCTATGCAGATGTCGAACCTGTTAATGCAGCTGAAGCATTAAAGGATTCGAAGTGGGTGAAAGCAATGAACGAAGAAGTAAAGTCTATCGAAGACAACAACACTTGGTCACTTGTTGAATTGCCCCAAGGCAAGAAGGCAATTGATGTCAAGTGGGTATACAAAGTGAAGACGAATTCGAAAGGTGAAGTAACTCGACACAAAGCAAGACTTGTGGCGAAAGGATTTCTACAGAAAGAAGGAATAGACTTCAACGAAGTTTTTGCACCTGTTGCTAGGATCGAAACAATCAGGCTGGTTGTTGGTCTAGCAGAAATCAACAGTTGGCACATATGTCAGATGGACGTGAAGTGTGCATTCCTAAATGGACCCCTTAGATGAAGAAGTCTATGTTAAACAACCAGTTGGGTTTGTGAAACATGACGAAGAAAGAAAGGTGTACAGGCTACATAAAGCCCTGTATAGATTGAAACAAGCTCCAAGGGCTTGGAATAAGAAAATTGATAGTTTTCTAAGGGAGAAGGAATTTGTGAAGTGCATAACTGAACATGGAGTATATGTAAGAAGAAGCAAGAGTAAATTGCTTATACTATGTCTCTATGTAGATGATTTTTTGATAACAGGTAGCTGCAAGAGTGAGATCGAAGACTTCAAAGGTGATCTCAGCAAGGAATTCAAAATGTTTGATTTGGGTGTGATTTCATATTTCCTTGGTATCGAATTCTACAAGAGCAGTAGAGGTTTGATGATGCATCAAAGAAGATATGCAGGAGAAATTCTCAAGAGGTTTTAGATGGAAGAATGCAACTCAACTTCGACACCTGCAGAACCAAGACTGCAACTGTCGAAAGATGCATATGAAGATGATGTTGATCCAACCCAATACAGAAGACTTATTGGATCATTAAGATATCTTTGTCATACAAGGCCTGACTTAGCGTAAAGTGTAGGTATGGTAAGTAGATTCATGCAGAAGCCAAAGGTATCACATCTAGCAGCAGTGAAGAGGATACTAAGGTATCTCAAAGGAACTTTCGATTATGGCATTTTGTTTCCTGCAGTTGATAAAGGAAAAGAATGCAAGTTAGTGGGATACACTGATTCGAGTTGGTGTAGTGATGTTGAAGATCGAAAGTCAACAGCAGGATATGTGTTTATGCTAGGTGGTGCACCAATTGCTTGGAATTCAAGAAAGAAACCAGTAGTGGCATTATCATCATGTGAAGCAGAATACATAGCTGCTTCTCTTTGTGCATGTCAAGCAACTTGGATGATGAGCTTGGTCGAAGAGATAACATGGAAAAATTATGGAGCAATTACCATGAAGATAGACAGCATGTCAGCTATTAATCTGGCGAAGAACCCAATAGCACATGGTCAAAGTAAGCACATCGAAATGAGGTTCCTGTTGGCTCCTAAATTTGACACCCTTGTTTTTATTAATATAAGCCATTAAAGCTGAAGAATGGTTTCGACCAGCTGGTTCTGTCGAAATGCTCATCAGAAGATGGCAATGTACTTAGAGAATTTCTTCCAAGGAAGAATCTTGTTGCCTTCGA